AATGTATAGGCGAAGTGACATCTCCACTTGTTTGTTCATTGCAGCACTCTTTACAATAGCCAGAAACTGGAAGAAACCTGAATGCCCAAGAACAGACGACTGGTTAAAGAAACTTTGGTACATCTACACAATGGAGTACTATGTAGCTCTTAGAAAATACGAAGTCATGAAATTTACATACAAGTGGTACAACATGGAAAGTATCATGCTAAGCGAAGTGAGTCAGAAAGAGAGGGATAGACATAGAAAGATTGCATTCATCTGGGGGATATAAAGTAACAAAATATGAGATTAATACCCAAGAATAGCTGAGATCAGCACCAGGAGGACTACTCCATAGCTTAGTGGCCAGTCGGGCATTCTAGAGGAAAGGGCAGCTCAGACAGAGAAGGGAACACCAAATAAAGGGTGTTTGGAGGACCCTCCCAGGAGGGGAGATGCATGTCGAAAGTGGACTATGGACTGAACATGTTTGCCACTCAATGCCTCTTTTGCAGACCACAACGCCCAAAAGGAGAGAGAGAACACAGGGGATTGCCCTGCCACAGAGGCAGGGGGGGATGGGGGGATGGGGGTGGGGGGGATATTATCCATGGTGGTGGAAAATGGGCACTGGTGGAGGGATGGGTATCTGATCATTGTATAATCAAACCCAAGCACAAAAAATTGTAAATCTACAACTGTACCTCATGGTGTTTCACTAATAAAAAAATTTAAAAAGAAAAATAAAACTGGATCATGAGCAATGAAACAAAGGACACTCCAAGATATACTATGTTTGAGAAATCAGTGGATGCCAAAGTATACATACACAGCAAAATGTTGGGAATAGGTTGGAAGTGGGCTATTAAGAGACAGTGGAGAGTTTGTAAACATAAATGCAATAGTCTCTGCATACGACTTGAAACCCAATTTAATAATCTTGATGAAAGAATGTTAACAAATAATAAGGTAAAAGTAGAACACACGACAAGGACCTTATGAGGCATGGTGGAGTGTGCAAAAAATGTTCCATGAGAATTCAACACTGAGAGAGTTGGAAGAGGAGAGTCAGCCAAAAGAATAAAGAAAGAACAGAGAGATTTACAAAAGAACCAAGTGAGTATAAAGCAGAGGATCCCAAAGCTTTTTGACCCTCCTTTTCAGAAACTACTAAATATACCCCTGGAAATATACCAGTATTCAAACAACAGAATGTATTCCCAAACTGCAACAGAGTTTACTACCACCCTCCTGGATTATTCTAGCACCTTATTCACCCATGGGTATTTCCACTTTGGGAAACATTGATGCAGGACCTATGGGAAAAAATATTTCATAATGGTAGAAGTCCTAAGAAGAAAGAAATTTATTTATTGACTAAGGATAATTATTTATTAATGAATAAATAAGGGACAGATTACAGAAGGTGTCAGTGCAAGAGTAAGCTGATAGTATATTAACAAGACACAATAAAGAAATACAATTGGAGACATATGTGGTATTCATGGGTGCACATCTCTAGGGGTTTTGGGCAGCATAAGGCTCCAGGAAAGAGAAACTGATGGTGATGAGGGTATTGAGGATCATTTGTCTATAGGATTAAGAAAAAATACAAGGAATGATCAAAATCAGAAAAAAACAAATTATCTCGAAGTATAAAAAGATGTTCCGTAATCAAGGATGAACAACAAATGAATAACACAATGAGGGAAAGTTCAGGTTTCATATAACAGTATTTCCTTTTGACAGATAATGGAAAGAAAACATTGAAGACTTGGGTTCAAGGTAGCTCAGGCTGCTTCATCTGAACAGGTTTGTCAGCTGTAATCGAGTATAAATCATATTTTCCGGATCTAGGAGAGATGATGACAACTAATGCTTCTATTAAAAAAAAACTAAATCTGATTTGTTTTTTTTGGGGGGGGCACTTTTGGCAGAGTTTGGGGGTTATGTCTTACCTGGGATGGAATCTGGGGCTCCTCCAAGCAAAACTTGTGCTCCAAATAGTTCAACATTGCAACCTGCCCCACCCTAGCAGCCTTTTTGAAGATAAATGATTGAATGTTGTGTTCGTAGGCGTCAGTTAGTCCCCAACATAGCACTCTCCCTTATTATTTACTGGAAACTTCATCCTTCCTTACAGACCAAGGAAACACTTGAATAAAACCATCCAATAGAATCAAATCTGTCCTACATATTAGTCTGCATATACCCTCATGTCAAGAGGGTCAGATATAACCTGTAGGAGGCAGTGCAGACACTGAGAAACTCTTCACGAATCAACTAGAGACACACGTAATCAAACATAACTATGCATAATATCACTTTCTGATAGGCTTCCTTAAAAAAAGGCAGAATATATAATTCTCTGTCAATTGTGACTCAAATGTCCTCTTGTGCACAGGACATTTGGTTTATGTAAAAAGAGCTAAGTATACTTGAATAGTCTATGTGTTATATGAAATGTTGTAACATTTAGACAGAATGAAAGTGAACAAAGGGAGCTATCAAAAAAAGTCCATTTACAATGACTTCATTAAGGAGTCATACCTGAGCAATGCCTTAATGAAATGGTAATGAGGTAAAATTGCACAGCCAGAAAATGCATTGGAGAAACCCCTCTAGAAAAGGCAGCTAATAAAGTGATAATGAGAAAGAAAGAAACTTATCTCCTCATGCTGACTTACATTCCCTTTATTTTGGATGACAAATTATATAAATATCACATTATTTAAATATTGAAGGCTTCAAGGGGGGTGGTAAAAAGAGACTACAGTCTAGACGGTGGGTGGATGGGGGGAGAGTGAGAACAAAGGGGTAATAATTTAAATGGGGATACAGAGAGTACATGCCACACTTAAAGGGTGCTTACAAGGATTTCATTAGGTCAAATAATGTGCACACGTAGCATTTAGCCAACAATCAGCAATGTGCAGCAGAATCATAATTATTTACTGATAATGAGGAAACTGATTAAGATGCTTATTCAAGATTATACAACCAACCTTTGTGGAAAACGTAGATGGAAACTTAATTGAAAGCTGAGTCACACAAACTTTCTCACCCTCATCTCCTTTGTTCCACTTTACAAGAGAATTAGTCAAGGATGGAAAGCATAACCATGCCCTAAAACTTGTTTCCCTGGGGGAATCTTTAAGCGTATAGAATTTTCAGTCTGATGCATGAATTAACAGCACCAAATAAATCACTAATTAAATGTAACCACTATCTTAAAAAAGAATCAAAGACAACCAAACCCAGTTGGATCCCTGGCACCACATAGTCCTGCAAGCACTGTGAGGAACAATTCCCAAGCACAGAACTGGAAGTACTCCTGAGGACTCCCAGGTGTGGCCCAACCCTCTTACCCCCACAGCGCCCCCCCAACCCCCAAAAAACAATGAGCCACTAAAAATGTGAACATTTCTACCAATAGACTCTGTTTTGTGGTTTCTAAATCCATTTCCTAGTGTGATTTTGAGAAAAGTCACCTCCTTCATAACTTTTCAAACTGCTCTACTACAGGCCAGAGAGAACAGAGGACAGAGCTCTTGCCTTGCCTGCTGTCCACCCAAATTCAATCTGCAGCACTCCCAAAAGGTTGCCTGATCCTTGCCAGGAGTGTTCCCTGATAGCAGAGTTAAGAGGAAGCCCTGGGAGCAACTGGGTGTGGCTCAAAAAACAAAAAACAAATGAATTATTAAGTAAAATACCAAATTGTTCCACTAAGCAAAACAAAACTGTCTTTTAAAATGAAATTCTAGCCAATCTAGCAATTCCAGAACATTTTATTTCCATGCTTTTCATTTTCAAAACTGAAATAACTTGTATTTATTTTTGTTTCCTTGTATAATGCTATGATGCAGAACTCCACTAAGGTCCTTTATGTGGAAATTACAAAAACATATGTAGAATCTGACCTGGTTTGAGCATAGGACATTTTGAATAAAAACATGTTCTCTATTTACTTACATTAGCCCATTTGACAGGATATAACGGTTATAATTATATTTTCCCTAAAAGTAATAAAGATAACTTCGTAGAATGAAATTAGTACTGTCCTTCATGGATTTGCTCGAGTGGGCACCAATAACATCTCCATTGTGAGACTTGTTGTTACTGTTTTTGGCATATCAAATACGCCAAGGGGAGCTTGCCACGCCTTGCCATGTGGGCGAGATACTCTTGGTAGCTTGCCGGGCTCTCTGAGAGGGGCAGAGGAATCGAACCCGGGTCGGCCACGTAAAATGATAATAAAGACAATCTTTATAGAATATTTTTTTCTTGGCAAATCAGATTATTGAGATAAATTTTCTTTAGAGAGTGAGAATAATAAATAAGCAGCCACTTTCCAGCTCTGTTAAAGATGTTGTACATAGCACTATTAAGTTTCATTATTTGTATACTAGTCACGATGCCTCTGACAAAAAGTTTGATAAGTTTGATAGTAAGCCCTACTTATCCATGGCATGAGGCTGGTGTTACAAAATCCCATTGATGCCTCAAATGGCCAATAGTAAGGAATTATATATCAACCACTTTTCTCATCTCTTCTTAAAAGCAGCTCTCATATATATACACACAAAGAGAGGTATACATATCTATGATAAACTTACTTAGGTACAGGAGAAGATTAACAACAAAGTATTACATTAATATGTTGAAGTACAAGTTCTGTGAATGTGTTTTTTTTCTTTTGCAGTCAAAAAACCTTTGGTCATAAGATTTTTGTACTGTGGTTAAGTGCAGAAAGGGAAACCACAGAGCAGGGGGACTACTGTCATTATATGATAAAGGTAAAGATTACTTTATCAGTACCCTGTTCATGAAGAGTCAGTACAGGTTGGATCTAGAGGCATTTCAGTAGCAAAACTGTATAACGTGAGAGTACAACTTGCAACAGTTCTTGAAGAAGAGAACAAAAAGGCACTGTCAAATTTGAATGAACAAAAACCAGGTTGGATTATCTGGAACAAAGAAACTCTGGGGCTTGTAGAACAGAGTAAAGGTTAACTGACCTTTGATGGAAACGGGCTCCGTGTGGCATCAGAGGTGGTGACATAAGCAGCCTGTGTGTAGGCATAGCTCTTGAAGCGAGGCTTCGGTGATGATGGAGTTCGCTCATAGCCTTGTGCTAAACTGACTGTAATCTGCACGAAAGTGGAAAGAAGGGACAAAGTGGAGAATGAAACTCGTGAGCATTCATGGAAGAACTGCTTTCCAATGGTTGAAAAAAGAGTAATGGAAATGGAAACAGTGACACGGAAAAACCCCACTTTATAAACACACAGAGAGATTTGTGGTGCTCAATGTCATGTGGAGAACAAGAATAAGATGGAGCAATGTAAGCATAGGGATTCCAAGTAGACACAACTGTAACTAACCCCCATATGGGACAATACTCTTCCATCAGACAAGTGCAGGTCCCCAAGAGCAATTTCCTCTGAACCCAAAGTAAGCAAACCCAGAATTCATCAAGTCAATACCCTGGAAAAGACTGAAACTTTCATAAGCTAAAGACAGAATGAGCTCAGTAGAATGAGAATTAGACCTAAAACCTGTCCACACCTTCAGCAGAATTTTGGCTACAAAATTTTTGATCACTGTGTTAAACAAGAAAACACCTCAAAACAACTATGAAAACACCTCAAAATATTGCTGATGGAAGTGAGAGCAACCATGTAATGGATCATCTCCACTGGGTTCTGCAAAATTAATAAATACATTGTATCTTCACTTATTTTTTTATTGAAAGTAATAACTTCTCTAAGGCAAAACATAATCATATGGAAGCAAGTTGACACCCAACTGGGAAAATATTAAACAGAATGCTAGTTTTTGCTTTTATTCTAATTCTTTTTTTTCTATTCTCTACTTCATGAAAATTTTCATTTATGTCATTCTATGTGCTGGAGCAATAGCATGGTGGGTAGGGCATTTGCCTTGCATGTGGTCAAACTGGGTTCAATTCCTCCGTCTTGGAGAGCTACTGAGAGTATCACGCTCACATGGCCGAGCCTGGCAAGCTCCCCATGGTGTATTCTATATGCCAAAAACAGTCACAACAAGTCCCACAATGGAAACATTACTGGTGCCTGCTTGTGCAAATCAATGAACAATGGGAGGACAGTGCTACAGTCATTCTATATTTTATTTCATTTCATATATTAGGACTATATTATGTGGTTTGTATTTGTAGAATATGGTGTATATCAATAGAAAATACTGTATCAATGTGTCCTGAAATCAATACTATTGTCTATAATATCAGATGAATATAAAAGGCTCACAGTCTCTCTCTCTCTCTATATATATATATACATATATATATACATATATACACAAAGATATATAGGTATATACTACATATAACTACATACTAGTGTTATAACACATAGATGCATATACATATAAAAATTACATGTGTACATATATACACATATAGCATGCTACTATATTTGTATATATATACTCTATACATGTATATGTATAGAGTATATACATGTGTACATGTGTATGTCTAGTATTAAATAAAATATAAATATGATACATAAAACACATATCAAATAGAAAATATATTTATATTATTTATATTGTCCTTTTAACACTTACCTGTTGAGAATAGTGCATTTGATGATGTAACTGATAATGTTCTTCTCTAGTAACTTTCGATGTTGTCCTTGGCAACCTTTCCACTTCCTGGATGGCTTCAATGCTCACTTGCTGAGGCAAAACTTGGAACAGTGATGTGATATACATTAAGATGGACTTCTTATCTGGATAAGTGGTGGCAACATCTGTAAGAAAATTAACACCAAACATCAATTTTTGGTTTCTATATTTGATTCTCTGAGAGGGAAATGAACAAATCAATGTTACAGGAAGAAGACAGATTAATGAGCACTCGATTGTCCATGACTGTCCTCCAGAGACTAATTAGAACATGATAATCAGGTTTAAAATGCCCTTCCAATTTGGCAGACCAATGAGATGAACACTAAAGTTAATTTCTTTTCCTTGGTCACATAAAAACTTCATTCCATGATACTTTTTCCCAAAACAAATCACCAAACTATCCCATCGAAGAGAGTGGTTTTCATTAGATAAGAAACAAATATAAAAGTTTACAACTTCCTTTCCATGTACAGTTATATTAGTATGTCAATTAAAATGGGACATTGGTAATTAAACAATTACAAAACAGCTTAATGCTTTGGCTTCTAGTTTTTGTTTTTTTAAAAAAATCTTGTATGCCCAAGTCCAATGTTTTTGCCAGTGGTTACATATGTAAGGGATAAAATTATTGAAATGAACCAAGTATTTCCACAATAAAAGTGAAACAACATACTATATGGATCATGATCTGTATTATTGTTTACATATATTAAAATATTAATTTAGGGGCCATAAAATATACTGGTGAGGGTACAGGCCAGGTGTGATCCCCTACATATCATGGCCCCAAGTACAACAAGTCATGGCCCTGTATACAGCCCCCCAGCATGTCCAGGGTATCCTGGGTAACCCCAGAACCACAGGACTAAACAGCATTGCATCCTCAGACCATGAACTGAACTGCCGGTCCAGTTAGGCAAGAATCCTAGGTGAGCCCCCCAGATATCCTAAGCACCATTTGGGGTATCACCACCCCAAAAAAGGAATATTTGCTTATATGAAAGCACATCTATAAAAGTTAAGCACTGACTTTTTCCTCAAACTCCAGAAAGTTCAAAGTTCTTCACAAGAAATCTGACATCATGTTCCTTGACACATACAGGGATGAGAGAAAACCATCATTTTACCACAATAACAATTTCTAAAAACACAGAATAAGTGCTAACTCCTTCCAAAGGGTCTTTTGCAACTTAGCATTACAGATGATTACTCATTCCAAGGGACAAAATGTAAATATATAACCATTTATATGAAGTATACCATTAATCCCAGAAGTAGTAAAACTTAAGTCCTGGAAGGCGGTCAAGGCAACTTTGCAGCTATGTGTGCCTGACATTTTCTTTATCTTGCCACAAATTTATCTTGGTTTGTTATTATTAAAAGATTTGTTTTAAGGGCCGAAGCGATAGCACGGTGGGTGGGATGTTTGCCTTGCAGGAGGCCGACCCAGGATTGATTCCCAGCATACCATTTGGTTCCCTGAGCACCACCAGAAGTAATTCCTGAGTGTATGAGCCAGGAGTAATCCCTGTGCATCGCCAGGTGTGGCCCAAAAAACAAAAACCAACAAACATAAAAAGATTTGCTTTAAGTTATATGTGAATACTTTGGTCATATGTTCTGATTAGATACACAGGGACATCCATTTTCAAGTCGACTCACATAAAAGACAGTTGAGCTAGTCAGTTCATCCATTCACTAGTAGCAGTAATATGATTAATCAAAGCAACTAGTTTTAAAGTAATTTTAGAAAGAGTTAACAGAGAGAAAACTTAACTAATGGTCCCATGTTTGCATCTCTCTATAGTAGAAAATGGCACTTCTCATTTTTTTTGTGTACATGAATCAACTGGCCACTTATTTTTTCCTTCATAAAATATTATTGGTTGTTTTGAAGATCAGTACACAGACATTTAAATGTACACATACACACAATTCTTGATATAGTATTGAGAATCTAAATACCCATGGACTAACAACCAGGTACTTGTCTTTAAAAAAAAAACAGAATTGTATTCTGTAGGTCAAGGGCAGAAACAGAACCTGTACAGCCAACTAGTGCCCATGTGATGCTGAGGATGCTGACATGAAGATCACTCAGGGAATAAAATTGTTGGAAAAATTACTGGGGAGTGAGATGCTACATTATCTGCAGTTTCATTGTCTTACCCTGTCTCTTTTTAATAGCTATTTTTTTCAGACCCTTAACTGCAGAAGGATGAGAGGCACAATGCTATGCAATACACATTCTGTTCTTATTAGAACTTAATTATTAACCAACAGACAGTGAAAGTAATTTTCACACAAGTCTTTGTAAGGAAGCATTAGAGGAATATTTCTGTGCATGGGCACACACACAAAACTCTTATTTGGCTTTGAAATCCTGAAACCCCAAATTTCCCTTTCATTTGGTAATTGCCAAGTGTTCTTTGTATGGTGGATACTATATATCACTGTAACTGGACATTCCAGAATGTTCTCTTCCTTGTCACTAATATCTAGTCAGTTTTATGATGAACACTATTGAAGATTGCTTATTACTGAGCACATTATACAAAACCATCTTGTGAGAAACACAATGGCATTTTAAAAACAGTGGTTATCTATTAACCACTGAATTACACATAAACGTGCACAAATATGTTTGACCTCGAATATATGCCATGATAAAAGAAAATGGAGGGAAATTAGATGGCCTGAGAGTTGACTCAAAGGGCTTGAGTGTATGCTTTGCATGCACGAGTCCTGGATTCATTCCCAGTACCGCATGACCCCCTGAGTACTACCAGATGTGAACCTCCCCCAACAAAACTCAATGAGAGAAAGACAAATTAGATTAAACATGGGCTAGGCAGAGGCAATATGATTATAAAGGTGCTTTCCTTGCATGCAGCTGCCCCCAGTTCAAATCTGTGACTCTGCGTATGGTCCCCAAAACCCAGTCAGAAGTCATCGCTGAGAAAACTCAGGATTAAACCCTGGGCATAACCAGGTGTGACCCTATACTAAAACAAACCAAAAACGAAATGTTAAAAACCCAAGCCACAACAAAAACAGACATGAAAGAGGATATGGCTCAAGTGGTAGAGCCTAGCCTGTGTTTCTCTCTGTTTCATCTCTGACATGACATGGTACCCCCTCTAGCACTACAAGTATATCCCCTAAAGCAAAAAAATAAGGGTCAGGGAAATAGTTCAAAGGGCTGGACCACCTGCTTTGCGTGTATGAAACTCACAGGCTCAATCCATGGCAATGTATGATCCTGTGAGCATAAATGAGTTTTCCCCTCATGTTCCTAGTAACTTTGGGCCTGATCATCATTAGGATGGCAGGCCCTAGGGCTGATCCATCAGACCCTTATTGCTGGCCTGATCATCCCTGGAAATGATGCCTCAGCAACACTGGGGAAATCCACAAAAGAAATTATGTTCACATATAAAAATAGAGCAAATGTTATTTCTAATTCCCCATACAAATGTCAAAAAGTAGCACACATTTTATCCACAAAAAACCTATTTATGTGAAAGCAAATAATCCTAACTAGTGATCACTGTAATTAATATCAAACAGTTGACCATGCTGTTGACATTCTGCCCAAATAGTATATCATCCCAACTCTGACATTGAGTTAGTCAGCAATACCAGTAGAAGGAATTAAGTATCTCTCTTTTTAACAATAACTTAGATATTCTAAAATGAATTGCATTTCTTAAATATATATTTACTAAAGAGCTGGGCTGGAGTGATAACACAGCGGTAGGGTGTTCGCCTTACAAGCGGCCAACATGGCCAACCCGAGTTCGATTCCTCTGCCCCTCTCGGAGAGCCCGGCAAGCTACCGAGAGTATTCGATATGTCAAACACAGTAACAACAAAGTCTCCAATGGAGACGTTACTGGGCCCGCTCCAGCAAATCGACGATCAACGGGAGGGCCTTTACCTTTTTTACCTTTACTAAAGAGCTGTTTTTGAAAATATATTTAACAAGGAACTAACAAGATAGAGAATCCATGAATTCTACTTAGACTCCAGAATAACACAGAAGAGAAGGAAAATTGCTTCATTATGAATAGAACTCAAAATGTATTCCTCTAATTGCTTTAATAAGTACTCTAATATGTTAATAAAAATAAAGTATGTATCACTGGAGGACCAGAACATTCTTCTTGCATAGGGACCTGAAATAAGTCCACAGAGGACTTTGTTCATTGGAAATGAAGGAATAGGGAGGGGGTATTCCAAACCATAGAACAGCATGAGCAAAAGTGCTAGGATCAGATTTTTAGGGTCATTATGTCTCAAAAATAGCACCTCTGGGTATCTTAGCCACATAAAGAATAATGACAAAAAACCAGCAACATAGTATGAAAATAACAAATGGTCGATGGCAACAGACTAAAGAGCTGGACTTCAAACTAAGCTTAGCAAGGATGGGGAAGGTTTGAAAGGGGAAAACCTGAGAAGACAGGAATGTAGACACTCTGGTAGAGTGGCTGCTGCTGGAACACAGTAGGCATAAAACCCTATCGTTAACAGTACTGCAAATCACTACGCTTCAAATTTAAATATTTAATTAAATATAAACAGATTGTATGCAGAACAGAGCCAGGTTAAGAGCAAACTATATAATTTGTCCTGAACACATTAGGTTTGAGAGTACTTTTGAAAAAGACTGCAACACTGCCAAAATACCTGTAAAATGAAAGTTTTAAGTGCAGAAGGGATTGGAGAAGAATAATAAAAGAGAGGGCAAGAGAAGTGAAGATTGCCTTCTACACGGGTGCTAGATAACTTAAACTGGCCATGTAATAAAAGCAAGAGAATACAATACCAATTCTAAGTAGGAACAAATGACTCACTAAATTTTTTTTTTGCATTTAAAAATTTATTTTTTAAAAAAATTCACAGCAAATAACTAATTTCATTTCTCCAAATGGCTACTCTGACAACCTGGGCCATTAACAAAGAATCAATCTTCTTCCACCATCCCTGAGGGCATTTCTATACTGGCCCCCAGTATTCAATGCAGTAACTGCTTTAAGACTGAAATCCATTTTGAACACCAGAAACTTACTTAGAAGACTTATAGTCAAAGACAAAATTTATGCACTTTAAAAGGATA